GCCCGCACACACACACACAAACGCCCGCACACACACACACACAAACGCCCGCACACACACACACAAACGCCCACACACACACAAACAAATGCCCACACAAAAACACAAACCATTATTCACATAACCATTGATCTTGTCACACAGTGTATTAGTTAACACCAAATGAATTACATTATTTTTGCAACAATATTTCACTTACATTATTTCATTGTTACGAATTATCTTGACTGCCACATCCAAATTACTACGTGCACTATCTCTGGCTCTAATTACATTTGAAAATACACCTTGGCCAGTATAACCATAAACAACATAACGTCCATCCATAATTTCACCAATTCTTACTCTGTAGTAACCTTCAGCATCATCCCAATTGTCTGTTAAGCTAGGATTCTCAGGACCACCTTGTGTTTTGTCAACTGTTCCAGGGCTCTAAAAGACAAAATAATATATTCAATTTTTCAAACACAACAGATACCAAATGGTGTAGAACACATTTAACAGTACATTGTATGAAATATATTTCACATACATTGTAAGTTTCTAAATGGTCAGCCTCAGCAAACATATCCCATTCATTCTTCTTTCCATCTTTGCGGTCACGTTTATCAGTCTTGTCACTTTCATTAGGATCATAAGAAGTGAACCTTGAAGCTCGTTTCAATGGCTTATCTTCCCCTGGCAAAGGTATGAGAGCTTCATTGCTAGCAGAATCATTATCAGTCTGATTATGATTCAATGCCTGACTCTTTGACGTGTCTTCGATTATAGGATTGCTTTCGTCTGCATCTTTTGGTGGTATGGTATCACCATGCCCATTTAAGCTATTCTCCTCTGAAGGAGGTGGGCGTTCAGGACTACTAACTCCTGATGCGTTGTTGACATTAGAAAGATTCGAATCTTCACTTGCAGCACCCAATCTCTGTAACAATATGATACAAGAGTATTACCAGAATGAAGTTTATGTGACAACACAGAAACCTTGATGATAGAATACCGAATTTACCCGAAAATAAGGCAAACCTAATTTGGAAAGATCTCGTGAGATTTTTTTTTAAATACTACAACTTTATATTCAGTCAAAATAAAATCGCAAATTGCCTTATTGACTAGAAAATTGCCTAGCAAATATTCATTTTTTTTTTTAGAGAGCATAGGCTTCTGCAGCGAGAGTCAGTATGTACTTGGCTCTCTGGGAGATACCACGGTCAAGGAACAAGTGCCGATGTTTTGGCTACCTTTCTGCAACCTTCCTCAAAGCTTAATGATAGGAAAGTCACAGAATGGCGGCCAAAATGTCGGCAGATGTGCCTTGTATGTAGCGTCTCCCGGACAGACATGTACATACTATTAATTGTTTTTGCCAGAGCTCTCACTAAGATCTTGTTCATCATCATTATCATCATCATCCCAATTTTAGTTACTACCATATTGATCTTCATGTGTCAACGATTTATTCCTTTTTTTCCTTTCTTTCTTTCTTTCTTTCTTTCTGGTCCTCTCATACTAGGTTGTCCACAGACATCAATTTGACTAACATTCTCGTCTGGTGACATTTTCTTCCTAGCACTCATTTGTGGTTCCTGTTTCTTTAACAACTATTAATTTGAAATCCAAATCTTTTAATGTTCGCATGATCAGCTGTGAACTGCAAACTCATACACCTTGGTACCTCTGTACCATGGGGAGCATGAGGAGAGTGACGTTAGGGATAGTTATTGTAATAGTTACTCACATAGCTATGCAATGTCTTTAGCACAACAATGAAATGTTGATGGACAAGGTGACATAGAACCCAAAGCCAAGATTCCTTCCCCCCCCCTCTTTCTTTCCTTTTTTGCGTCTTCAATGGCAATCAATCTTTATAATAAAAAAGGAGAGTTTGCCCAAATGTATTTACAGTTATAAAAGATTATTTAAATCATTTACCAAGCAGAAAGTTACACAAAACTTTGTAAATAATTGGTAAGAAAAATTTGACCTAAATGTCCTACACAAAAGTCAATTTATCCCCCCCCCCACCTCTACTTCCAACTTTTTAACATACAGCAACAGCCTATCCATCGCTGCTATACGACTACACTAGTTTGAACTTCATTTATAGGTATCGAATTTTGGGGAGTTCCAAGACTTTTTCCAACTGTTCAGCTAAAATTTATTTATTCCTGAAGTTTTTTCAAAGATTATTTGATACAAATAGATATCCATTGTAAAGATCAGCACCTCTAGTGGTTATATCATGATTTTTTAATACAATTAATAATTCAAAGGAATATCATTTACATGCATGTATTCCTTTTTACTGATGAAAACTAACATGGACAACTTTTTAACAGTATAAATAGTGCAACTATAATAAGTAAACAATGCAACTGGAAATATGCACTTTATCTAATACATCAAATATTCACACTTGACGTATATCAACTATTTTATTTTATATCGCAAAATTGTGAAACCATAAAAAAAGTTGCAAAAACATACCCTAAGGAGTTCTTCTCTTTGCTTTCTTCGCTTTTGAATTATTTGTTCTTCATCTTCATCTTCCTCAATATCAATGTCTTCTAAACTATAAATAAAACAAAATTTAAATATCAAATGTAAATATCAAGTGTCTAGTTTATCATTCTTTCTCAAATTACATTTTCTTTTTGGAAAGGTGAAAGTACTTACTCTCCTTCAGATGATGATTTATCAGCTCCTAGGCCCTCAGATAAACTGTCCTTAAATCTATCTGATTTATCACGCCTATCTCTACCATGCCTAGCAACAAAAAAAACAAACAAAAAACTATGATTATTTGCCAACTTCACATAAAGTAAGGTAGTAAACCAAATAAGATAACAGCCAACGAAAAGGAAAAAGTGTTACTCTCATAAATAACAAAGTTTTAAATGCTCATTCTCTTTTATCTACATAAGAACTTTTCTAAGTAAGTGCATTCAATCACACTATAATAATGCTTCATTAAAATGCATTTAATAAAGGCCTATTTTAATTAAATGCAATGCAAAACTCAAAATGGGTTTAAGGAAGTCATTGGAAACATTCAAATAAGTGAAATGATACTGCGCACTGCTTTTGCTCAAGTTTCTAGAAACATTAACAAATATCAATTAAACATTGCCTATGTTTTGTACAATTTCACTGTGTTGTCTTTCTATGTTTTATTATAAGGTATTCTATTTATTACCCCACACAACAATTGGGATCACTTGCTCTTATTCTCATAGTCTCCAACATAATTTGCAGCCAGTTTGGGGAAAATGCTATTCAGAATTCATGTAAAGTAGCCCCCAAAATTAAAATATCATTTCAAATTCGAGGTGCCCTGTCATTTCCAGGCAGGTCAAGGAATATCGATTTTGATGAAAATCCTGGTTACAGTTAATGCACTAGTGTTGCTCACAGATAAACGAAAAGAGTCTGACGCTTTGATTAAAAGTAATTTCGAAAATCAAGGTGTGACAAAATGTAATTCTGACTATACTACTTATTTGGGAGAGTAATGTCCCGCATATTCAAGAAAGTAATGTCCCGCATATTCAAGAAAGTAATGTCCCGCATATTCAAGAAAGTAATTTCCTACACACAGGAGCCAGAAAATAACAAGTTACGATTTCAGAGGTTCACGAAAATGCTTTTCTGTTGAAAACGGACAATGTTGATAATACTATTTTGGTATTAAAGACTGACAGAAAGCCGATACTGACCACACTACATATTGAGAAAGTAATTTCCTAGGAAGAAGAAAAATACATATTTTGGTATCAGGAACACTCAAAACTAGTTTTTCTGCCGAAAACTCAGCACTTCAATACTTTCATTATACTACAGAGATGAAAAAGTAAAAAGCTCTGTTCTAAAACCTTTTTTTTTTCTTTCTATGCCTCATGAAAACAAGGGTAATTTTCCATTTTGGATATATCGTGTCTACAGATTTGTGCGTTCAGATATCCAATTCTAGATATATTCACTTCACAGCACAACGCATTCCAAAGACCAGCTGGGTACAACAGCACACATCTCGCAGAACAATTCTTCCATATTTATTTTTACTTCCTCAATGTTTATGGTAATAATGGTCAATATGATTTTGCAAAAGTTTCATCTTCTATGTTTTGTGATTTACTGATGACTGACCAAGATCTTTGAGAATTGTAAACGAGACAAGCAATCATTCTTAAAATTCTTTCTCAAATCTTCTGTAGAAATATGTGAATAACTTTATTAAAAACCCTAATTTATTTATTCATTCCATCATCTTTCTGATCCATTCGAAGTCAAAGTTCATATTCTACTTAATGAACTAGGTTATGAAAAACCTTATTAATTGGAAATAAAACACAAAAAAGTTTTATTATTTTAATTACAAGATTGAATAATAATAATAATATTAAAATAATAAATATTAATTTCAATACTAATGATAGTTTTTATCCGATATTATACAATAACAACTTAAACCATCAGGAAAACGTTGAAGCGACACACAGGTTTCAGGATTATTTGAACCGAAATAAAAATATAATGTTTGAAGCACATAAAACTTCTCTAGAAAAAATTTAAAAATATATAAGTAAATTTAAAATAAAAAAGAAAGGAAGAGATCCTTTGACTAAAAATTTATTTAGAAAATAAAAAAATTATCATGCAAACTACTTTGTCTACCGAGATTAGCATAGACAAAAACCATATAACAAGCAATTGCAAATAACATGCAATACTAAAAAAGCTACAATAATGCAATAATGAAAGAGGATTCCCAAAACTTTCAACTTTCAGATTTTGTTGAACTAACAAATACAACAATCGAAGTCGTAGGCTTCCGCAGCCAGAGTCATGTGGGTGATCTGGGCTGTCCAGGTGACGCCGCGTCGAAGGCTGAGTTGCCGTCGTTTCGACCATCCTGTCGTGGCCTTCCTCATACCAGCCTTGAGGAAGACCACAACAGGATGGTCGAAACGACGGCAACTCAGCCTACAACGTGGCGTCACCCGGACAGCCCTGATCACCCAAATACAACAATCATCTATTAGAGTAAATAGTACCCGACATTGTAACTGACAGCAAATTGTGAAGCATACATCAAATCACTAATTGTCACTATAATCAATAACTGCAGACTTGCTTCCTAAAGCTTAAGGACATTACATCCATTTTCTGCTAAAATAAAATATTTTATTATGAGGGTTGAAAATCAATTGACATTAAGACTGCCTTATGAGTATATTTTAATATGTGCACCTTAAAATCAAAGGACCTAATCTTCCCAGAAAAAAATATTTTAAAACACTTGTTCCACTTCCATTGCTCTTGCTGGAGGTATTGTGAACTAAATATTGTAAAAAGACATTAACAATGAAGTTAGAAGCAGTCAAAACATCAAGTCAGCCCAGTCAATTAGACCAAAAACTGATCAAAGGAAAAAATTCTGGAGTTTTGAAACTTGTTGACAACAATTTTATTGGTCCCTACCGCACATTATACTTCAAATCCTCAGACGGGGTGGTTGCTCTACTTTTTTGGCTTATATCTTCATAATGATCAATCTTGCTGAAACTTATACCTATACAAAATGAAGTTGACAAAATTTCCTACAGGAAAAGTTCCTATACGGTTTTGTTGTAAAATTTACTCTTAATATTATATGTTCAAAAAATGCTAGTTTTTATTTACAAGACCACTTTTTTAGATACTTCCCTTATAAAAATAATGTCATATGTTCAATGCAAGGAAGTTATTGTATTAATGTTCATCATTAATCAACATGTATTTGCACACTTAGCGCCAAAAAACTGTACGAGCCTGAGTATTTGAGGTTATTGTGTCAAGGTGACCTGGGGTACCTTGATAATCCATAGTTTATTTGCTAAGGGTCAAATCCAATTTGGAAAAGGTTTGTATACACTGTTAACATATTGTAAATAATATGAAACATTATACAAGTACAAACATCATAATTGGAATATTCTCATTTACTGAATAGAGAGGGACAACTAAAACAAGAGTGGCAACAATGAATGATTGACAAGGGGATCCAATGATTACAAAATTGAGGAAACCTCAAATATTCCTAAAATCGATAATTGCATTGACCGTGTTTCAATAAATTATTCCGTTGCTTTTCCTAATAAAGTTTCCTCCAAAAAATTATATTTACTCATTGATATTGATTTTGACCTCTTTAAACTAGTTTGCTTGAAATATAATAAATTTGTGCCCACATTTTTCCTAGTTCTCGAACTTCTTCTGAAATACGGTTATCAGTACATCACTTAGCTCCTTCAATGATACTGTTTTAATTACTCTAATGTTAGCAAAAACGCTTCCTTGGAAAAAATGTTAAGCTTTGGGAATAGGACAAAGCCACAGGGTGCAATGTCTTGGGAATACAGAGGCTGAGACATCATAACAGTGTTCTTTTTGGCTAAAGATAAACAAACCAGCAGTGAAATGGGAGCGGGTGGTTTATCGTGAACAACGACTTGGTGCCAAGAACATAAGATGCTCCACCTCATTGAAATCCATGAAAATCATGAACAGAACCTTCAAATTCAATTGAATTTAACATGCTTTTTCAGTCTTGGCTTATCCAAAATTCTACCATTTGTACTACTCTCCCATTTGGACGAATAAGCCTTCATTTTGATGTCATTTTGATGTCACTTTGATGTCACACCTATGTTTCTTCAGCAATTATGACCCTTTTGAGACCTTGTTGGTTGCTTCATTTAGCATCACTTGAAAAATGTTCACAAGAAAATTCAACAATTTTGGAATACATTTTTGCTGCTACAAGTTACATGACCAAAACATCTGAAAAAATGAATAACAGGACTTTCCTCAATTCTGCAATCATTGGATCCCCTTGTCAATGATCAAGTGTGTAACATCTTAATTTCCACTCTCAGTTTTAGTCGTCCCTATATTTACATGATAAACGTAATTAATTTTATTAAAATATTTGTACTATTACTTTGTTTTATATAATTTATATTAATAAATTATAATAAATTATATTGACAGTTTACACAAACTATTACTAAAAGTACTTGTATCGATCCTCGCCAACTAAACTATGGATTAACAATTTTCATACTCAAGTTAATCGCAGATTCAGTAACATCTGCTACTCATAAATACTTACAAAACAACAATTTGATAAGAGGTAAAATGTTCATGTTTTTTGTGTAAAATATGCAAATACATATTGTTGATTACTGGCAAAAAAAAATTAAATTACATCCGTGCATTGAACTTATCGTAACATCATTTTTATAAGATAGATACATCCTCATATTTCGATCAGCTTTTCTTTCCTGAGTGTGCATTAGCAGGGCGGTTGCTACCAGACCTTGTATGGTGGACAGACTCAAAAAATCCTCGTCTCACATACCAAACTTCATGCCAATGTTCTGATCAATTAAATCAGTTTTGAAGAATTTTGCTAAAAATCAATAGAAAGTGGAATGCATGTTCCTTTACTAAATACATCCGTACTGTATTATCATTACCATCACGTGATAGCAATTAATATTAATACCTCAACAACTCAATAAATTACAGCACAAATTAGTTTTTTCTCAACCTTCTGACAATTACTAAAATACCATTTCTGCTGTAGTGCTATTTTGAGTGAATAATTGAATTAAAAATTAATTTTGATTCTACAAAGGCAGAAGCAACAATTTAATATATGTTTTTATTAATGAAGACTATACATTATGAGAAAAGTAATACAATGGAAAATAGCTACAACATGCAATATTGAATATTTACAAATATGGAAAGTTTTCAAAAAATTAATTACAATGCCAGTAGTGAACTACAAATATTTACCTGGAATGTCTCGACCGATGATAGTCTCTGTCCCGATCTCTGTCTCTGTCTCGTTCTCTATCCCTTTCTCTTTCTCTCTCTCTACTTCGAGAACTTGAACGATGACGTCGTAACCTATCTCTTTCACGATCCCTCTCTCTTTCCCGCTCTCTTTCACGTTCTCGTTCTCTTTCTCGCTCCCTTTCTCTTTCCAAACGGGATCTTTCTCTATCTCTGTCACGTTCTCTCTCTCTATCATTTCTGAGATCACGACTTCGACTGAATGACCTTGAATGACCTACACCAAACAAGAATAGATCAAAAGAAACAACAAAACCAAATTTTTAAGGAATAACATTAACATTTAAACATACAATCAATCCAATACACTGAATAATTAAAAACAAAACAAAAAAACTACAATGGAATAAATTCTTTCTAAAATCTCAAGTAAATGAAACCTTGTAAATTATTTATTCACTTACCCACTGGCGAACGACTTCTGGTGGATCTTCTTCTGGAGATTTCATGTTCCCTCGATGTGTGCTGCCTCCTGCTATCACGATTCTTATCATCAATTCGATCCCTAACTATTTCTCTGCGAATGCTTTCAGATGATCGGTGGTGATGATTCTTATCATCTCTGTCCCGCGATCGGTGGTCTAAATCACTTTCTCTACTCCTCTTAACATCACGCAAATCACGTGATCTATCCAGAGGAGAGGTTCTCCTCTTATCCCGTCCTCTATCTTCTTTTCTCTCTCTACGTCGATCAGGAGTAAGCGCTTTACCTTCTGTACGGTCCCTCTTATCTCTGCTTTGACTTCTGCTTCTGAAATAGTCCCAAATATTATTGAGATATTTACATTATTATAATCCAGAGAAGCAACATACACCAGTATCTTCAACTAACAATTTTAAACTATCGGCCTTTCATAATTCTTTGAGCAAGGTTCATTGGTTTATTGATAGAGTCTGTTACCAAACCAACAATATTCTAGTGAACCAAATGTGTTTGGCTATTCAAAAAATGCATAATAATTGTGGCTCTTCACTGATATGACCAAGGACCGAGCCTCAAACTCAGGTCCTTTCAATTTACTCACTATGAGCCTTACCCCTACGCTATCTAACGCAGTGAGTTCCAAACTTGAGCTTGTAGTTTTGAAATGTTACTTGTGGCAATTTTAGCAAAATATGGAGATTTCACCGAAAATCAGACTAGCTCCATTTTTTTACTGCCCTTTGTTACATATGAGGAGAAAATTTAACGAAAAAATTTAGAGTGGTTTTTGAGAAAATATTGTTTTTTAATTGAAATTTTAACCTTCTGCAATTTTCAAAAATACGAAGTTTGCAGAAAATGGAACAAGCTCCATATTTTTTACTGTCACTGATAAAAACTTTTTTTAATTTTTTAACAATAAAAAATATCAGTAAATCATTCTGGCAAATTAATAGCACCTTTCACAGCTTACAATCTCCTGCTTACTAGAATCAAAAATTGCATAAAGGAAACTGAATTCTCACTTAGTCCATGACCAATTCTTCGAAATGGAAAGCAGATTAATTGGAACCTACCTACTGTGTTTTCGTTTTCTTCGATCTGTGCGCCGACGTGTAGACTCTCCATCAGAGTCAGCTAAGTTAATGACTTCTGGATCTCCTTTTTCTTCTTTCTCATCTGCATCATCATCAGACATATAAGCACCAAGTCGTGCTTGTAACAATGCCTACAAAGAAATAATTACAATTTCTTAATTTTGTCAATGTAAAATCCCTAAGTATTAAAAAACAAAACAAAAATGCCAAATTATAACCAAACCTAACACCGTTCTACATCAGCCAGGTATTCCCATTGACCTCTGTAGCAATCTTACAGGTTGTGTTGGAAAGAAGTTATCGATTATGAGAAGAAAATATATTTTTCTACAGTACAATTAGATTTTCTTACAATTTACTATAAATTTTCAAAAATTTGGAATTGACAAATTTGATTATGTCCATTTTATGCATTTCAAAATCAAAAATATGATTTTATAATATTGTAAAATTTAATTCACATTGTAATAAATACTGACATATTACAAGTGAACTACTTTCAGTTTTAACCCTAAGGGCACAATACGTGTCTCTCAATTAATAGTGGTAACACCAATAAATTTGTGGACTTGTGGCTCCAGTAGGTTTGACTGTCAAGGAAGAGGCCCATGTGGTTAGCACACTTCCCAGCCTTCTCAGTGTCATCACATCAGCCACTTCAACAAGTAGTATAGTATCCATAGTGCCCATGAGGGACGATGTCTACAGCTACATTAACACAACTACTACTAGTGATTTAGACACTATGTCCGGTAGAATGGATTATTTCAAAACTCATTTTGTTTTTATTAAAATAATGATAATAATAATAATAATAAATAATAATAATAATTTGTTATTTTCATTATTGTTATTTAAAAACATTTTTCTGGCTATTGGGATCAACTTTGATATTCCACAGAGCTGTATTATTTTTATTTTATTCTCTCTTTCAAAAGCTGATTCATTAAGTGTATATAAGATGTGTATAACTACAGTTTTGAGACGTATAGTGTTGACTGATATTTATTTAAGTGAAATTTCATTTTTTGAGATATTTCCTAAGTGAACATATAGATAAGAAAATATTAAAAGCTAATATTATAAGAAAGAGATAAATCTTCTCAGCCTCATTAATAAATGTGGTGTAAACTTTAATCCAGTTTTAAGCCACATACAGTGAAAACCACAACCAAAATTGATAGAATAACTCGACGAGAGAATAAGTAAAGTGTAGCTTCTATGGCAACTACTAAACCTCTGATATATGTAGTTTAAGAATGGAATAAGCTGAAAATGTGTAAACAAGATTTATCAGTTTGTGCATTTCTCTTCTTTGTATCATTTTATTTTTATACCACTGTGCTTTCTTTTTTGTGTTCTCAGATGTTTGGCAACCTTGTTTCCTTCATGGATGGTATGTTATTTATTTTTATTTTGGGCACTGGAAACTTCAAAATAATTTTGTTGGCTTTTCATACCAGAAATGGAAGTGTGCAACAGTATTGATAAAATGTATGAACAACTGAGAAAGAAGTGTGCCAATCTATTTGAAGTGTATCCAGATGAGGAATTACAAAATAAAAATGGGTATTCATATGAAGCAACATAGGAGTTAATAGATTTGTTTACATCAAAACAAATCTGACTAGTACGAAAGGGTAAAATTTGCACATTTCTGCAGAAATACTCAATTATTCTTTGCTTCTGAGGAAAACGAAGACAACTGCAAACTTGCATGTCATGAGTTAGCATCTCAAACAAATGTGTGTTTAAAGGCGACATTAACAAGTACAGAGGAGAAAGGGAAACATCAATGCATATGCCTGACATTAGAATCGGAGGCACAAACAACCATAATGTTTTTGAAAATGCGTGGATTTACATTTGTAATCAGCTGTACCAATTGCATCATTCATATGTCCATAATGATGAAGATCAATAAAAAATTTTCATCATTAAACGTGCACGAATACAATATCTCAACGATGAAATTCAAGGATCTTGCTTTATTTTATTAAAGTATATATATATATATATATATATATATATATATATATATATATATATATATATATATATATATATATATATATATATATATATATATATAGTTCAGATAAAATTCTTATTTTCATCATTAGAACAGTCAAACTGAAATACTTTCGGAGTTGCCTAGTATATACAGTATGGTATGTTAAATGAAACCAACCCACCCCTGTTTCAAGATTTCAAACTCCTATAAGCATCACTGGAAATATCAATAAGCAATAATATGTAACAAATGCATAATATGTAGCAAAGTTTCAAAACAAGGTTGCTTTTTACTATAAGTTGATTTTGTTCTTGTATGGTCATATTTGTGTGTATTATGGAGAAATTGGAGTTGTGAATACCAGCAAATGAGGTTTTTCTGAGGGCATTTTCAGGTTGGGGAAACATTGGCCAATGGTGAAACAAAGCAACCAATTGAATATGTTGTACAGACCATACACCTTTTTCCTAATAACTCTCTTTGATTATTACGCGTTTCCGGGATCGTCAACTGCTATGGTCATTATTCCCGTAAGTTTGTTTCATATTTGTATTACGGGAGGTGACGATGGGTGGTGTGTTCCGGCGGCCACCTACACGACGGCTTGCGGTGTTTTCCCCATCCAGGTACCTCACATCGGCGAGGCACCGCCTCTGCGGTATGTTTTCATTTCATTACCATTAGAGTTGTAAATGGGACTTATTGAGAGCTCTCTGATTGGTTCGAGATGGGGGCGCGAGAAACAATGTCAGCTGCTGGCACGTTCTCCACACTTGAAAATTCAGCTCCACGCACATTTATGCATCAACAAACTTCGATAAACATAACAAATTTGCATGTTTTCCAAATAAACTTACCACGTGCCTTTTAGAGAACGGGCCATCAGCTGACACTTTTGATTCGCGCACCATCACTAACCAATCATGGAGCTCTAAATAAGTCCCAATCGTAACTGTAGTGGAAAATGAAAACAAACACAGCCGTGGTATACGCTCTAAACTGTCGACTGGTATCCCGACGTATATTTGGAAGTAGATAAGGATAAGCCAATGATCACGCGCGGTCCATGGCCCGTTTCTTAGGGTACAGCTCCAGTATTCGCCTGATTTTGATCGGAAAACTACTGTGATCAGAGCAGACGGCCGGTAGAATTATTCAGACAGCGGCTGAATTCGACCTATGTATGTAGCTAGTGACGAAAATCCCTGCCACCACCGAGTCTCCAACCCTAAGGCCCCCGGTCAGAGAGAGAGGCAGTGCAGTGACATCAGTTAATGCTCTGAGACACCCCAGCTGGTGCTGACGATTTCATACACAAGGCTATATTCTATAATTTGAAGACACTGAAAAGAAAATTGGCCATACAGTTGCCCCTCTTAGGCTGCTATTATCATTGCCATTTAAGAAAATTCTGCTCACAAGTTTCCAATCTACATATAGTTCTTCTTCCCGTAGTGCGTCACACAATTAACTTTTTTATCATTGACATTAAAATATTTGCAAAGTTTAAACAATGGATTTTTGACCTTACTCTAGCCAAGAGATCAAGTGAATACAGTTTTACCTTTAAGTCCATAGCTATGAAAACGTGGAGAAAAAACACAACAAAGAGTGCTAGCAGACAAAAATCTCTTCTGGTAGCCCCAGCAAGATTTCATACAAAGCCCTCTGATACCATTATCTGCGAAATAAAAGAGACCGCAGCGCACTAAAAACTGCGTGTACTAAGCGATGGAAATACTGCCGAAGATGCGACGTCGCCCTCTCGCACAGCAAAGATCTCGGATTCCTGCTGCGGAAGCTCGCGCCTACATTTTACTGTAGCTACGAGTCACAATTCTCTTCGCTATGGCAAACGAATACGTAGGAGAATACATTGCTGTCCACTAAATTCTTAATACAGAGCATCCACTTCATGACGGCTATCGGGAACAACTGAAACTGCGTCTGTCGCAGGAAGCAGAAGACAGCTGCTGCTTCGAGCGTGGAACGTCAGCCAATGGGATGAGCGTTAACGTCGAAAGAGGGGCGAAAGCTCGGAAAAAGGGACAAGGAGCCATTCAAGACATAATGGTGTGTGGGTGCTAGGAAATTGTACGATAGGGGTAGGGCGTGATTGAAAAGTTACGTGCATAACTATTGGCGTCTACACGGGCAGGGAGGGGGGAGCAAGGGGACACGTTGCCTTACCGAACATTTTATTTCTATAAATATGTTCAAGCCCCGATTTTCCAATTAATGAAAGCTCCCAAGTTGAGCTCTCTACCCATAATTTTAGGCTGCGTACACAACAAAAATAATTTTTTGAAGGTCTCATCAGCATCATTAGCGACCACTATTGTATTTAACGTTATGGTAATTAGAAGATGCCATGACATGGTGATGATAGTGGGGGGAAAGGGCGAACACAAATATGACCATGCCCGAGGCGGGACTCAAACCCGCGATCCTTCAGTTCGAGATCGCTACGACACTACTGCCTTAACGATCTCGGCCATCCGGATGACGTTGTTGTTGTTGTTGTTGTTGTTGTTGTTTCAATTTAAGGACATTTTGGTGTATTAGGCACGACGGGTGTCGAAAATTACGGTTCACTGAGAAAACAACGTATATAACGCTCATTGTTTTATATCCTTATTGGTCCATTTAATTATTTATTATAATAGTGATGTTAAATTAGTGTAATTCTGACAATTGTAAAGAGATCCAGTTCATGTCATGCTCATACTATATTCGAAGGCGACTGGTGGGAAAAACGCTGTGTGCTCCTTAGCATTAGCAGCGCTCAGAAAAACAAGTTCTACCCCCCCCCCCTGCCGAAGTACATTACAATACACATTAAAGTATTCGATGATATTTTATAAACTGTTTAAAGGTACATATGTTTAAATGATTGTTCTTAGTTTAAAATATATGCACATGAAATTGATAGTAACTAACGATAAAATTTTAGATATTAAAGTAATGCATGCATCGTATACTAATTAAACTTTTTATTGATAATTCTGTGTTGATTTCTTATATTTTAAAATATAAACGTTAAAATCGTTTCATACTTCACGTTTGATTTTACAGCTATTTCACTATGACAACTATCAGAGCTATCTGTTTAAATTT